TTAGCAGATGGAGACGATCTGACAGAGATCTAAGGCTGGTTTCTATTTCTGCTGCTGGTTCTGGTTCTACTGGTTCTGGTACTGGTTCTGGTACTGGTTCTGGTTATGCTAGTTCTGGTTCTGGTTATGCTAAAGGTTCTGGTTTTGTTGCTGGTTCTAGTTCTGGTTATGCTTCTGGTTCTGGTGCTGGTTGTAGTTCTTGCCCTGGTTTTGGTTCTGCTTGTTCTGGTTCTGCTGCTGGTTCTGGTTCTCGCTCTGGGTCTGATTCAAGTTCTGGGTCTGGTTCAGCTGGTTCTATTGTTTCTGGTTCTGCTGGTTCTGGTTATGCTACAGGCTCTAGTTAGAGTTCTGTTTCTGGTTATGCTACAGGTTCTGGTTCTGCTGGTGCTATTTCTATTTCTAGATCAGCTGGTTCTGGTTATGTAACAGGTACTAGTTCTGGTTCACAAAAGGGTGAAAACATTTGAGTAAACTGGACCAGAAGAAGAAGAGCTGGGCCTGAAAAACTCTGTAATCCAGCAGATGAAGAGGATCTGAAAGAGATATCAGGAACTGAGAGGAAACATGCACATCTGGTTATGCTGGTGGTTCTGGTTCCATTTCTGGGTCTGGTTATAGATCTTGTTCTGCTGATAATTTCCGGTTCCTGTCCTGGTTCTAGTTCTGCTTGTTCTGGTTCTGGTTATAGTTCCTGTCCTGGTTCTGGTTATAGTTCAGGTTCTGCTGCTGGTTCTGGTTCTAGCTCGGGGTCTAATCCTAGTTCTGGTTCTGGTTATGCTACAGGTTCTGTTTCTGCTGGTTCTGGTCCTGGTTTTGGTTCTAGTCCTGGTTCTGGTCCCCTCCTGCTTACCTCCTCTCCTCTTTGAAGTAGAGCACGGGCTTCCTCCTGGATGAGTACATCATGTTTGTGGTATCGGATCAGCCGTTTGGTTCGGTTCGGTTCTCGGGGGCCCCGGTTCGTCCTCCGGCCCTCATTAGGGGGTCCGGACGGAGCCCCGACCGGGTCTCTGCTCACCTCTCGTTAAATTCATAACGGTTCCTGTCTGTTAGCAGCGCTAGCTAGCAGGGTGACACGTAGCCTGTAGCGGTTCCCACTTGCGCGCGCCCCAGGTGCTCGCGCACTGACCAACGGTCCTTTTTTCCGGTTCCGTTCACGGCCGTTTTTAACGGAAAGTCCATAAATACTTCAGTGCGTCATTTCGTCATTTTTTAAGCACGAAAAACTGACCGAGGAAGTCATTTAAGCTAATTAAGCCTCGGAAAACACCAAAGGAGCCGTTTGACGCCGGGTGCCACCCGTTTATGAGTCCGACAGGAACACTAGTGCTAACCTGCAAAGGTTCCCGTTTCCTGTATTTTGATTATTGTTACGGAAGAAACTGCGTAAAAACATAAATATATATATAATCTGTACGTAGTTGGGAGGATAATAAATTAATTGGTTTAATATTAAGCAATGTTTGTTTAAATTCCTGAAAAAGTACATGTGGAAATGACCAAAAAACACAAATAAACAAAGGTAAAATTATATTAAATAAAAAATATGATTCAATTAATATATTATTACATTAATATAAATATTCAGAATATGAATATATCGATGCAAATAATTAATACAAAAAAATGTATAGGATTGTATTTAATAAAATCATAAAACAATGTTTAGAATTATATTAAAAATATATGAATATGTAGAATTATGTTGAAGTTAACTTGTTTTAAAGAATTTCCTGTTATGTTTTCCTTTTTTAATTTGTTTGGTGAAAAAATACTCCGTCCACTTCCACTGATTCTCCTTTATTTGTCTTAAGTAAAAAATGTAAAAGCTTATCCACTAGTCAGATTTTACTCCAAATAGCAGGAATTCTTCACATGTGGTTCATCAAACAGCCAAGAAAGTGTTTGTATCTTTCTTTTATTTCTTTTTCTGTCAGATTTCTTCCGGGTTCCTGTTCCTGTTATTACTGCTGTCACACAAACACCAGAAATCTGGATCCATTTCAGTCCGTTTTATTCAACCGAGTCTGGAAACACGTCGTTAAAGATCTCACAAATCAACCGGCTGTGATTTCAGTTGGAAAACAAAAAAAAAAGAAAAAACCAAACAAAAACCAGCAAACAGCCCGGCGGCGTCTCCGGTGGCCAGTAACATAAAGAAGAACCTGAAGAGAGACGCCGCCGGGAAGGGGGGGGGGCACCGACACACACACACACACACGCACGCACGCACGCACGCACAGACAGACACAGACAGACACACAACAACAAGAGTAAACAGGAGGTGTTTTCCAGCCTCAACAAACAGCTTCTGACCCCGAAACCAGCCAATCAGCTGCTGGTTTACTGAAGACTCAGTAGACACACACACACACAGACAGACTCACACTAACAGACACACACACACACAGACTCAGACAGACATAGAGACAGACAGACACACACGCACACACACACACACACATACAGAAACACAAACATACAGACACACACACAGACTCACACGCACACAGACCCCCACACATTCCCCCCAGAGGCTCTACACACACACAAAGACACACACAGACTCAGACAGACAAACACAATCACAGAGAACCCACAC